CACGAACCATGAGATCATGACCTGAGCCAAGGCTGGATGCTTAACCGACTGAGACACCCAGGCGTCCCTGAACTTTTAACAGAATCGTCTGAAGAGCACCAATGGTTGGCTATATACACGTGAAATCAATCTGTGCTCCTTGGTTTTCTTCCTGCAAAATAAAGTCAAAATGGATATAGTACTCCTTCCTAGCCCCCAAACTCAATGAAAGTCTCTAGAGCACAGGTTCCCAAGCTCTCTAGGTTCATGACACCCTCGGTATTTCACTAATTTTTTTCACAGCAACACTAAACCAAGAAATACTAACAGTTCCACTTACCAAGTCGTTAGCAGCAATTTGAAAAACTAATCTACTTTAGCTGAAAATTTTTTTTTTTACTTCATTCCAAAATAATCACACTTACTTACACAATGCATATTATGGTTGGGCAATGAACAACTTCTTAAACCTTGGAATCAAATCGGACACTGCTATCCTGATTTCCTATTCCTCACTGATTTTCATGCAGTATTTACATTCTGTCACAGCAACCCCCCAAAACCCAACTTTACAAAGATACATCACCCAAAGGAATACAGCATAATCTAATGTTCAAATCAGGAGTTATGTCAAGTAGTAGTTTACCTGGCAACCAACAGATGTCAAATACTGCTGCATCTTCCTTGAAAATTTAAACTACCACATGGTGCCTCTATAAATTGGTGGCAATACCCTGGAGTATTTTAGTGCGATCTGGGAAATATGGCCCTATGGCAAGGTATTCTGTAATTTTCTGGCTTTGGACTCAGACCTAGGTTAGAAATCAGATTCTACCAATAACTATATAATCTTGGGCACTGGGCAGTTGAATCAAACTCCTGAACCTTAGTTCTATGCCTGCCCAACAGGAGTAATAGTACTAACCTCAGAGAATAGTTGTGAGGAATGAGATGATGTCTGCACATAGTAAATGCTCAATAAATGCTACTTATTATTATATCATTCCAACTTAAACCAAATTTAATCATTAACTCTCTGGAGGATAAAGGAAGCTTTCTAAACTAAAGCCACAATGTCAAATAAAAACTTAGGAACAAATTTTTCGGGAAAAGACCATAAAGTGCTTAAACAAGGACAATATAGAGAACTACAAACTCCTCCAAAGGATGTCATCACGTTGCTATACCTATCACAAAAAATGATGAGGTGAAAAGTCTTAAACTGGCAACTCAAAAGAATATACTTTCAAAAGCACCTTTTAAAGGATAAGCACACTAGAAAAAACAAAGAATTTTATAAACTAGGATTCTTTTGTAACATTAAGAATGGTCTTTTAAAAATAGTTAAATTTTACACAGAGCAAAACTCATTTGATTATAACAAAGACTTTTCCCCAAGAGTATAATAGCTCACACCCCTATTCTCACAACGTACTAGAATTTAACATTTTAATTCCAAATACACTTGTAGATCTTCTCTCTCATAAACATCTTTAATAAAATTTGTAATACAAGAATACTTCAAGCGCTTAGTTTATAAAAGGATTTTTGAAATATGTCATTTGATCCTGAGATAATTATCTCTATTTACTGAAGAGACGAGGTCCATCAAAATTAAGTAATTTGCCCTACAACTTATATATTACTGTTCAGGGCGAAAACCCATGTCTTTTAACTTTTTCTAGTATACCACAACTCCTTCATAAAAAGACTCAGTTCAAATCTTGTTAGTTTGGCCAGTGTTGTTTTATCCAACTGTTACAAGTAGGTTAACCATCATCAAAGGCCTGAAAATCTTTTCCCTGCACAGTAATGGCATTTCACCTGCAAGACTTTTCATTTGCCAAGCATCTTGAACTGTATAACATTAGTTAATAATTATTCTTAGGTAAAATTATGACAAGATCTATTATTATAGATGTAACTATACCAATGGTAATGAAGTGGCTGAGCCCACTGGTACAATTTCCCAGCCCAGAATATTTCTCATTTTTCATTTAGTACATGGCCCATTGTTCAATTCTAGATAGAAAGGTAACATGAACTAGTAAACTGACCCTGATATTTTTTCTTCTATAACTAACAAGCCAAATGCAGTGGCCAAAATACTTAAAAAGAATGGAAGGCAAGCAAACTTGTATGCCACCCAGAATGCAATGCCATCACAGGTCTATGCCTGCCTTTCATCTTGGTCCAAGAAAATTCCAAAAACAATCTGCCAGCAATTCTTTCCCCAAATTCCCAAATTTCTCCCAGATACATACATTACTATCATTTCCAACAGTATCCTAAAAGCAACTAAGGCATTCTATTTCAGTGACTACTTCTCTAAAACTTGAATATAAATACAATTTCATAATAAAATACCTGTATTGGGGAGCTTAACTTCTAAAGAAATTCTGCAGGAAGTCTTTATACAATGTAACTTATCACACTCTTATTTCATACTACATTAAAAAAACTAACTTTTTATATGCCAGAGTTTAAGGGTAAATTTGGGCAGGTAAGAAGGGATATGTGCCTGTACCATAAACGCTGTATTAATTTGAGTCTTTGGTAGTCATAACATCATTTTCTCTACAGCTAATATTTTGAAAAACTTCACACTCGGACCCTTCCTGGCAATGTAAATAAGACTGTTAGCAGAAACTTCTTCATTTCCATGGAGAATTGAAGAGCAACCTTGCTTTCTTAGAAAGGAAACAGCTATCTGTCTTATACAATACCCCGTCCACTTTAGCCACCTAATACGGACCAAAAAAAAAGGTCTGGAAAACGTCTCTTTTCCAGCCAAGGGCTGTTCCCAGATAAAGGCAATGCTTAGAATACAGAGAGAAAACAAAACAAAACAAAAAAACCTTCTTTGAGGGAAGAAATACGCCAAGGAAGGAGAGCCATGGATCAGAAATAAATAAGGGGTGAGTGTACGCGCTCAGTGTAAGGGCCGGAGGCAGCAGGCACAGAGCTGAGATGCTCCAGCGAAAGAACCAGCAGCAGCAGCAGGAAGTTTCAATGGGGCCGGGCAGAGCATGCGCCCTGCACCCGCGCGGTGGCCTTATGTGGAAGGAGCACCACTTGCGAACACCAATAATAGACCAGCAGCACCAGAGAGAGAAACATGAGCAACAAGCACCTTCTTCAACTGTTTCCCCCTCCGTCTGAGCCCCTCCTCCAGCCTACATACTAACCACCCCACCCCACCCTGCAAATGGGAGGGCGACTTCTTCCCCTAAGCCCCGCTGCCAAGATGAAGGGGGAAGGGATTAGAAAAGTGGGGAGATGCTTTTCTATTATTTGGGGGGAGGTGGGGAGAAGGAGGAGGAAAACTATGGGGGAGGAAAAATTAACCCTCTAACCTCCAAAGTGGAGAGATGCTGCCGACTTCGACCCCCAAAGCGAGAATGGAGAAGGACCCTCTCCCATGGGGGAGGAGCAAACCTCCATACTCTGAGGAAGGAGTTTTGGGGGTTAAACTGGCCCTCGAGGGGAAAGGAAGAGAGACGCGAGCCGACTCTCTCGGGGGAGTTCCCACTAGAGGGAGGGAGAGCTGAAGTGTCCGCTGGCCCCCGCCCACCCAGGTGGAGGGAGAGAAAGGGGCGCCCCGAGAAGATGAGCCCAGCCTCCCCCGAGATGGTCGGGTGGATGGTGGGAGGAGGGGAAGGAGCAAGGCAAGGGAGGAGGAGAAAAGCGCAAAGCTGGCCGGAACCTGCGCTCCCCTTCCCCCGCCACCCAGGGGGAGAAGGGGTGGAGGACCGGCCCCTGCCGCCGGGGAGCAGTCCCAGGGGCCGCCGATCAGCACAATGACCCCTCCACGCCCCCAGCCCACATCTAGCCCGCGACGCCCCCACCTCCGCTCGGCGCCAGGCCCGGTGGCCCTAGGGGGTCTCTGCCCCGCCTCCCCACTGCTCAAGACCCTGGGGGCTGGGCGGAGAGGCCAGGCCGGGCGGAGCTGCGCCCCAGGGGAAGGACAGAGCCGCGGAGGCCCGGGATATCCGTGAACAGCGGAGAGAAGGAGCGTGCCAGGGCCGCTTCCCGCCGGGCGTTCGGGCCCCTCGCTTACCTTCTCCACTGCCGACGTCCGGCGGCGGCGCCTGCAGCACCCGCTCCAGCTCAGGGAACGGCAACTCAGGCAGGTCGAGCAGCGGCCCGTAGCGCTCCAAGAAGGAGCAGACTACGGCGAAGTTGGGGCACGAACCCGGGCAGCCCGGAGGAGCCATCGCGGCCGCCGCTGCTGCCGCCGCCGCCATTTTGAACTGGAGGATGGAGGAGGAGGCGATGGGGGGGGGTGGAGGGAGTTAGGTGCCGAGGAATGGCAGGACAGCTTTACAGACAACAGGAGGCGCTAGTGAGTAGGCTCTCCTGCGGATCCGAGCGTCTCAGGCACGGCGCCGCGATCCCACAATACAACGGCTGCTCGGAGCAGTCGAGAACCCAACCAGACGAGGGAAAGAGAGGCGCTCTGTGCCTTTCACTTTCCGCCCTCTTCCCGCCCCCTTCCCTCCCTCTTCCTCGCCCCTCCCACTTTGGGTTTGCCACAGCCTCGTGTGACAGGGGGAATGAAAACAAGGGAAGCGGGGCAGGGAGGAGGACTGGAAGCTTGAAGAGGCGGGACTTTTTAGGAGTGGTGGCCAATAGTCTTGGAGGGGGCGGGGCTTCTGGCGACGACTGGCTGAAAGGCTTTTTCGGGGCGGGGCGAGTGGGGGGAGCTCTTAGCCAAGAGGGCCTGAACCAACCAAGGTGAGAGGTAAAGCGCAGAGCGGTGTGGGATCGCAACTCTCGTGGAGAGAGGACGTTGGGTGAGTTTTGTGGGAGCTCCGGGATCTAAAACCCGGCCATCAGATGGTGGGGGAAGTTTAGGAGAGTGAATAAGCAGCAGAAAAAGAGGAGAATCGAAAAACACGGTTCTGGGAGAAGGTTGGAAAGGGGAAAGGCTGAGAAGTGCTCTTAATTAGGGATTGGGGTGAGACCTTTGTAAGAAGTGCCTGCGAAGCTTTGCTGAAGGGTATTGCTGTCTGCTGGGGCACAAGAATCGTAGCTATACTGAAAAACAGGGTCTGAGGGCTCTGGGGGACGAGGACCTGAGGGACGAGGACCTGAGGGAATGAGGCTCTGCGGGGATCACCTAGCTGAGGAATCGGGGCCCTGCAAGGAGATCAGGGTCTAGAAGGGACCAGGCTCTTCAGGCCGACCAAGGTGTGAGGGGACAGGGCCCTGCTGTGGTTGCCAGGGTGTGAGGGGAAGGGACTCTTGAGGCACAAAGATCTTATAGGGGACCAGGGTCAGTTGGTGGGCTAGGACTCCACTAAGAAAACGGACAGGATAGCGACTTGGTGCAAGAGCAAAAACTTTGTTAGAAGACAAGGTTCAGTTTCATTGGGGCAGCAGTGCTCATTCTCCCACAAAGAATCTCAGAAAACTATCAATCTTGCAAAGTAGAATGTGCAGCTTGGAATGTAACGGTGCGTTATGGTTAGGAGCCTGAGCTTTGGAAGTCAGCCAGACTTGGGTCCTAACAGAACTGCTTCAGGACATTACAGAAGATTCTTCATTTGTTTGAACCTCTGTGAAGTGGGGGTAATAAATGTACTTAAATGGTAGGATTTTACTAGGTATTCACAGTAAATTGACTAGCGCAATCCCTGGCACATTCACTAGAACTATTTTTAAAACATTAGTTGCTATTATTGAACAAAGGAATTTCTAAAATTTAGATTGAATTCAGCCATAATTTATATAGTCTACTACTTTGAGCCAGAATTTTCAGCGTGCATTTAAAACTTACATAGTACCTTTTTAAAAAGAATTTGAAACAAGGTATAATATAAACCGTGTAAAATAGGACAATTTATGATGAAAGGAAGATAAAGATATACAGTACAGGCAAATAATTATATTGGGAACAGAAAATGCTTACAATTATTGAATTTCTGTGTTTCTAGGGGGAAAAAAGCACAATGCTCTACATCATTCTCATTATCTAAAGAAAAATATTCATTTTTGTCAAGGGAGGAAAAATAAATCTAGATTGTAAGTTCAATGTGTAACCTACAATACTGACTCCTAATCCTTTGTAATACACAAACTCTTTTTAAAGGGAAAAATGTTTTTTTGAAATTTCTCCAATACTCTTGAAAATTACATTTTAAGAAATACTGCTGTGAAAAATTAAAGTCAACACAACAGTGTGACTATACTTCATGCCACTTAAGTATACACTTAAAAATTATTGAAAAGGGGGGTGCCTGGGTAGCTCAGTCCATTGAACATCTGACCTGATCTCAGCTGACTCTTTTTTTTTCATCTTTTTTAATTTAAAGATTTTTTTTTTAAGTTTATTTATTTTGAAAGGAAGAGAGCATGCAAATGGGGGGGGAGGGGCCGGGGAGAGGGGGGGAGAGAGAGAATCCCAAGCAGGCTCCATACCATCAGTGTGGAGCCTGATGCGGGGCTCAAATTCACCAACCATGAGATCATGACCTGGGTTGAAACCAAGATGTTCAACCAACTGAGCCACTCAGGCTCCCCTTTTCAAAATTTTTTGAAGTTTATTTATGGGTGGGGGGGTAGAAGAGCGTTTGTGGGGGAGGGACATAGAGAGAGGGAGAGAGAATCCCAAGCAGGTTCCACGCCGAGAGTCCAGAGATGGACACAGGGTTAGATCCCACGAACCACAAGCTCTTGGCCTGAGCCAAAATAAAGAGCCAGAAGCTCAACCTACTGAGCTACCGGCACCTCTCTCAGCTGACTCTTGATCTCAGCTCAGGTCATGATCTCAGGGTGTGAGTTCAGGCCTCAAGTTGGACTCCATGCTGGGCTTGTGAAGCCCACTTAAGGAAAAAAAATGGTTAAAGGGGTAAATTTTATTTTATGTATATTTTGCCACAATGAAAAAATAAAAAACAAAAAAGAAAGTCTTACTTTAGGAAAACATTTATAGTTGTGACTTATCATAGCAAAAGAAAAGTTTTTATTTAACGTATAGTAAAATAAGTTTTTTAAGTAATACTGCTTAAACAAATTGAAATTAAAACATATTGGTAGAACTTTCAGATACATCTATGTATCTCTAGACCTGGGGATCTGAAGACCCCATTTTAAGAAAAATCTGACCTAGAACACATCTTTAACAATAGTTTTGCAGAAAGAGACAAAAATTTTGATAAGGTCATTACTTAATTGACCTTAAATAAAAAGTCCACTCCCATCTTGATGTAGCCAGTGCACATGCTGCCCTCATTATTTATTTTGAATATAGCCCTAGCCTATAGCAATATTTTTTAAACACTGGGTCATGACCCATAGTTTTAAAATCAATGTGGTGAGGGGCGCCTGGGTGGCGCAGTCGGTTAAGCGTC